GCAAGGGGGTCCCCTCTCTCACCCGGGGGGGGAATAGAAAAGGGAAGGTATGAAAGGCTGTGTTTCTGAATGCATCAGTTTGGCTTTCTCTCCCAATCGTAAGCTTAATTTGGGGAAATACGAAATGCAAGGGGCTGCCCATGATTAAAAGCCCTGTATCATTGCATGAAAACGTCTGTCAATTACACTTCTAGAATCGTCACTTGCTCTCTTTCCAACGTAATGAAATCTGCACATAATAATAACCCTGGACGTACAGCCCTCGTAATATCCATTTTTATTAGTCGGGCCTGAGCTAGGAGAAGTATAATTCTTATTACCTTTCCTTCCCAAATGCCCCCTTTTTTTGAAAGAAAAAAAAACCTGCCGTGAAATTAGCCGCTGTGGATGCAGAGAGTAAGCAGTACGTCTGGCAAGCAGGCGGCAATAACAAACAGTTGATCTGGTCTCCCTGTCCTGGGCTGCATTGACGTCACCAGCCTGTCACTGTTGCTCAATGTCAGGCCGCACTGCAGAATACTGCTTTTAGGCCAATTAGACATCCATGTACAAGACACACACACGTACATGTAAATGCATCTGCGATGTTTTCACTGACACCCTTGCCCCACAACAGAGACTGCCATCCTGTATGTCCCCTTTATTATTTGAAAATTGTATTCTGCCTCTTCTTTTTATTATAAATATATTTATTTTGTTGCTGTCCCAATTGCAAACCTTGCATTCATATTCAGTTTCCAATTATCATCACCCTTGGTACTTTTTCATCAAAGTTTCTCCCCTGCTTTGAAAGACAAAAGCGTTTATGTAAACACCTGCTCCCAATATTACATTTCAGCTGTCCATGCGTAACAGAACTCAACATGTACACACGTAGAGTAGACTGCAATATCTTAATGGACAATACGCAGTGCAAATGGACAGGATACAGCCAGTGTTTTTCAACGCTTACTTTGACTTGGTTTGGTTTTTAAAATGTACACATGTAGTTGGAAGTTGTGAAAGTTTTATTTGTGGTTGACCATGTTTAAGTCTTTCAAACATGCAGATGTAACGTGTAAGTCAAATAAAGCTGAATCATACTTAAGAGTGTCCTCAGTTTACCCACAAATAAGACTGATGCAATTGCGCTGAGAATACTCTCCTTTTCAGAATTAATCCTGCTTCAAGCTTTCCATAATCTACCCATCCTTTTTGCATCCCTATCCCTTCAAAAGGACATTGTTAGTTGCCCCCCTCCTCCTCCGCACTTATCCCCTCCCCCTCTTTTTCCCATTTTGATTCCCCGGTACTCAGGTAGGATTGACGTCATCTACCTGTCTACAGCTTGCAAACTGGGGAAGGGCTTCTTGTGGCTGTGTTGACACAGTGACATGCTGGCATTACCGTGGCTGATACATGTGCACATCTCTTGGGCCAGCTTAACAAGCAAGAGATCTCAGATATTCATTTCTTTATGTCAGTTTTTTTTGTTTTGTTTTAAAAGCCTTTGTTACAGCATGGTGAAGTCTTCATTCGTGTTATTGTATTAGCAGTAAATTTTGAATGGCAAATATAGGGAAAAAATCGCTGATTCGTGTACATTGTATACATGTATCTATATTTTGGTTTTAAGCCTTTTCCTAGATAACAAATTTATCGGAAAGTAATCTTTTCTATTTCACAAATGGATTTCATTGAAAACCAACTGTGGTAAATTGCCAACAACAGGAAGGGATTCAGAACTTGAACTGTATATCAAAATAGCATGAGAGGTACATCAAAATTACAAAAAAAAAATCAAGAAGCAAAATGTTCATGTGAAAATATATGTTGATTTGAAAAATTGAGTCTAGAAGTCTTGACAATTTTTTTTAAAAAGCACTTATCTCATCCATTGCTCTTTACATGGGTTGCATTTCTGTACTGAACATTAGTGAGCTGAAAATACATTCACACTCGTATATCTGATGAAAACTCAACATTAATTCAATTTTCACGAATGCATGCGCAATGTACAGACTGTGAACCATCTCATCCAGCCGACATCACTCCAGGCAATGAAAAGAGAAGAACAAATACACAGTATGAGTTTGTTGATCTGAAATCTTCTGTCTCTCCTCTCCCCCCCGTTCTCTCCTCTTGAACTCCTCTGCTTTCTTCATCAAGAAGGAGAGAGAGAAATTTGAGACCAATTTACTTCAGCGGAAGGAGTAATGCTCCATAAGGCCTAACCATCTGCACATTATAAACCTGTTAAAGCTGGGATTGGATTAGTGATCAGCTGGGTGCCGACCTGGGCAAAGCCCTTGTCTCTCTGTTGCATCAATGGATTAACATCCCCTCTCTCCTATTACAAACCATAACTACTACACTCAATTATGGCCATATTGGATTGAAATGCAGATTGTAAACTTTTTTCCTTTAATGAGGGAAATGCTGTGTTACAGTGCAAGGAAACTGCATCTCAAAAATCCAAATTAGTACCATTAGAGATAGGAAATCTGGATACAGATTCTGGTGTTGATTCTTTGTTTATGTCCAAACAGAAGGGTGGCATTATAAATGTGGATTGCAGTCGCCTGTTTCCGGAACCCCTCTGTAAATACTTTTCAGGAAATGCACGTGTACAGGTGCATGGGTTGCACAGCGTAGCATGCCTTAATATGCCATCCTAGCAATGTAAGAATGGCCTTAAAAAAAAGGCATCCTTATTCAGGAAAAGAGTTGGTTGTGTTCTGAATTGAACTGAAGTAGGCTGCATGGTTTATGCAGAAGAATGTACCCTCCGCAGTAAAATCTCATCACTAAAAGCCTCTCATCCTGTCGCGCACATGCACAGACTTTTAATTTTCTTTTTCCTAATTCCATCAACCACCCCCCCTTTCCCTTTCTCTTTTCTTTTTTTCTGGACCACACTTGAATCCAATTGACCCCCTCATTCATTCTGTCATGTTTGAAATCTCCCACTCATTTTCCGCTCTCCTCCATCAACGTGCCCTGGAGGAGTTTCCAAATCAGTCATGCAACAGGGGATGGGGGAATTTTCATCTTCTGACCCTGCAAGCATATCGCTAAATATCACCGTCTGTTTTTGCCCCTGCCTGATGGAATCGCTGCCCAGCTAAAGACCCACTGTTGAGGAAAAGATTCTTATATGGTTTGTCCTTAAAATTTCCCCGCTGCAATTTGGAGAGTAGATTCTCTAACAAGAAGCTAGAAACATGACCTGAATGAGCTTTCTCTTACAAGGTGATCCAATACATACAGTAATTATGAAGGACTGGCTTACCCATACCCGATACCCATGCTGTTTCGAAAACTGGCTGACATGTATTCAAGAACTGTTTAAAGTACTTTCTAGCATAATTCATAACCCCTTCCCCTTGGAAAAAATTCCTCCACAGTGCAGGAAATGACTCATACATGTATGTTGTACTTGAACTCTCAAGGAACATCAAAACCCATGCATACTAACAGAGTTGTGTGTTCCATTTGAGAAATATTAGAATAAGAATCTCCCTGGAAAAGAAAAGCAAACTCATACAACCGTGGCAGCAATTTTAAGTTTACACAAAATTCAACCATCAAAGAAACTGATCCCCAAAGACTTTACATCATGATTAAAAAACACATGTAGACTGCTGTGGCGTGTCCCGTACCTCAGCTGTGTCATTCTGTCTGGGAAATTTTAGAATGACAATTCAGACCTACAGTAGGATTGTAACTGCTGATTGCCACTGGCCAAGCCATAAGGGCCGGCCTAACATGCCAATTCGGCGGTGTTTTTGAGGGCATAAAGGATAAAGGGTTTAGGGTTTAGTTGGGGGGCTGTGAGTCTAACCTGCCGACAGCGGCAGGTGATTCATTCTGTAGGATAAGAGTCTGGCACCCGTGGTCAAGTCTATAAATATTCTCAAACAAATTTTGCAACCTCTCCCTGCCTGTGGAGTTAGTGACTCAGACCTCTGTTTCACAAAGTTTTTCTGTTCATTTTGGTGAGATACTTTGTTTTGCCGTAAACATCAGATTACATATTGTGCATGTACTTTCAAGGTGGAATGTTAATTTAGCTGTTGAAAATTTTTCTTGATCCACTCTTGAAATGTGTGCAGAATGGATACTGAAATTGCTGAGGAAAATTCTCTGTCTCTGCCAACAATAACGGAGTTCACTGCCGATTAGCAGAAAGCATATTGAACAGCTTATCAATTCTGGGACATGTCCCGGAGTGCCTGTTGCTACATATCAATGTGGTGGTAATATGATAGCATCCCTCGCATTCAAAATAGTGATGCAGGAACACGTACGCCGTCCGGCATTAATCAGTGATTAACTTTTCCGGGCCTGTGTGTGGGGCTTGGAGTGGACTGGAGTGGACTCTAGAGGGCAGTCTTTACCTCGATTGGTAACAGGGCCAGGAGACTGCAGACATGCATGTTTGCACTTGCTGGCTATATATGGATGTGTAATTTTAGCATTTTATATTGTTGGTATTTAATACATATGCCATGGATTGCATTATGTTATCTTTCTGAAGATTTGTAAAACCCTTTGTTCATTCCATAAGTTGTGCATCTGCAACGGTGAATTGATTTGAATGTCTCCATTGTTTGCACTGCCCACTGTGAAACTTAATTGTCCAGGTTGTGTGAAAGCGAGTAATGCTGCCCTGTAAGGATTAGGTTAAGTACACACTGTAGCTACATTTAATTAGGTAAAGATGTGAGTGTTTAAGAATTAGTTTATACATTGGGCTGGCCAATGAAAAATGTATCAGTCACATTTCTTAGGTGCATCTAATGGTTTCTAAATTGAATAGTGTGACAGATGTTTCTTCTGAGAAGAAAATTGCAAAGCTGAGGCCATAGATGCAAAACACTCAATTTTTTAAAGAAAGAAAAGGGATTTAGGATTACTGTAATTTGAATCTACAAATGGTCATATCCACATGACTGGGCAGTGGGAATGTTCACCCCTGAAGATTCACACCTCTTCTTTTTTTTGTCTTTGAACTACAGGGGGTAAGACTTATTTCATCACTGGGCTAAAGGAGGACCCTTCTTCTAAGCCGGCCCAGATGGACACAGACGTAGAAACCTCGGCAGACAACGCCAAAGAGCCCCTGAGCAGGGCAGAGAGTAAGGAGGACGAGGCAGGCGAGAAGGGGGAGGTTGCAGGAAGCGAGGCCGGCCATGGCTCCTCGCCCAATGGGAACCAGAGTAGCAAGCCCTTGCTGGGAGAAAGCAAGACAGACTCAAGACAGAACAGCCCCGTTTGGAAGCGGAGCTCACCGGGAGCGCGCAAGCCCAAGGCCCTTGAAGCCCCGTCACATGTGAGTCATGACTAAAGATGCCAGTATCCCCACTATTCACTCTGCTAAATATTAAGAGTAATCCCATGTCTCTCACCCCTTATCACCACCCCTCCGTCTCCCACCGCTCATCCCATGTTGCAGTTTACAATGCATTTGATGAATTTCCACAGATGTATTTTTGCTGCTTTTATTATTCCCCATTTATGTAGTCTCCTACAACATCGGTACACCCCACAAACAAATTGTTACACAATGGTTGGCTGACCATCGTTGAAAACAGAAAACAGAGTTCTGTTTTCTCAAAAAGGATAGCATTCTAGGCAGAAATATTTGAACGGTTGACCGAGGCAGTTGTTTACTATTTTTCAATGAAGATATTCAAGAATTTTTCAGCAGTCCCTTTCTTGTGATTTTACCAGTAGTGCGACCCACCTTTAACATGCTTTGGGCTCAACCATGTTGTTATTTTGTTTTTAATGTCTTCACCTGCATTTTATAAATGCATAGATTAAAATTAAATGGAAAAATACATGCGTCACGTCCCGGACAAAATGAACAAAGGATCGTACAGCAAACAATGTACATGACCTTATGGTCGAGTTTGGGCAGCCTGTTCTCAACACAGGTTTCTTGTTCTCGCACTCGAAGGGTGGGAACACGACTCAAGAATGCTGCTCTTGGAACAGGATCACACACTACCTCCTCGTCAGGGTTTTACAGGAACACACAGAAAAACTTGTGAGATTTTGATTGTGAACAGTTGCAAACATGGCAAAAAGTAGAGTGATGGCTTACAAAGCCAGATACAATAGGAAACTTTGCAAAAGTAACATTAATTATTCTTCATAACACAGAAATGAATGTTCCTGTTTAAAGAATTCAGCCCAGTTATCCAAACATTAACTCTCGAATAACGTAAATGGATGCCGCAATGTTGCATGTTGCTTGTGACTAACTACCAGCAATAACCGGTTGTACGTTCCCGGCGTTCAAGCAGCTGAGCCAAGAACAACAAATCAAGCATTTTGTGAATATACGAGAACAAGCTGCCCGAACTCAGCCTGTGAGAGCTTAGTAGCACCGCAACACTCTGGAAGAAGCTGTCCATAGGATCCTCAGTCAACAGATTTATGCATGTTATTATGCCCTCACTCTTTAGTGAGGTGCTTAGTGTGAGACTTGTTTTGTTAAGTGACGAATCATTCATTGTCTTAGATCAATGCAACCTTATTCTTGTCACAGTCAGCCTCTAAAGATTAATAGAGGGTGCTATGTGAGCACAGCAGTTTAAGGGTTTGAAATTGGGACCCCTCTGTTTGCTGAGCGAGGAAAGGTTTCTATTTACTGGCGTGAGTCAAGTAGAAAACATAACAGCTGAACTGGCTGGTATATACATGTAGCATTAATGCCCAGCTCAACAATCTGGGAAAAAGTAGGTCGCAGTTATAATCAAGCCTTTTGTGCTAATGCTTATGTGTTGTCATTTCTCACAGCTGCAGGTTCCTGGTGATGCCAAAGGGGAGAATGGGGGCCTGGGCTCCAGCCGAACACTGTCTGTCCGTGACCTGCTGGCTGATGGTAACCCTCTCAACATCCCCCTCCACAACAACACCCAGAGCAACAGTGACCAGAACTTTGTGGACTGCATCAAGCAGGAGGGGGCCACGGACTACTTCCACAAGCCCCCAATCAGCAACCTGACACTGACCTTCCACAGCAAGAGCATTGAGGCATTGTACCGGGCCCAGTTCCGGCAGGACTCCTCCAAGGAGCCCCGCAACCCCGAGACCAGCCGCAAGAACCGGCGCCACTCATCGGAGACCATCTCCACAGCCAAGTACAACACTGTGTTTGACGTGGTGGTCTCGTTTGTGGTGTACCTGCTAATCTCCATTGGCTGCTTCTTGGTGTTCCAGACTCAGGTGCACTGGTTGATCATTTTCCCCATTGCTGGCGCTCTGCAGCTGGTGGTGCTGTCGGCAGTACTGCTGCAGGCTTTCAGCAAGTGGCGGTCGAATTTCTACATGGCCCTGTCTGGCTTCTTCCACCACTGGTGGCCACGCCACATCCTGGGTGCCATCCTGATCAGCTTGCCCATTCTTGCAGTCTACGCCAACTTCCTCTGCCAGCCAGACTACAACATCTACACCAAGCAGTTCTTCTGCTTCCTGATTGTGGTGGCCTTGCTCCACTTCTGCAACTTTGTCCAGCTCAGCTCATGGATGAAGACCATCCTGGCCTTCATGTATGCAGTCATCATGCTGGTACTCTTCAACCTCAACCCTTGTGACCAGAGGCAACTACCGACCGTGCCGGTTGCCAACAACTCGTTAAATGACTCTGACGGGCCTGCCGGTTATGCGGAAATCCCTGACATGACTGGATGCACCTTCGAGGCCATGGCCATGGAGGTCATCATCGACATCTTCCTGCTCTTGATCCTGGTCCTCTTCCTGAACCGAGAATTTGAGATCAGCTACCGGCTTAATTTCTATGGAGGGGTGGAGGCGGGGCAGGACAAAGAGCAGATGCAGATAGAGAAGGAGGAAGCAGAGACCCTGCTGCATGAGATCATTCCCACCTTTGTCACAGAGCAGATGGGCAGCACTTCCAAGTTCTCTCAGAATCACGAGAATGTGGCCGTCATCTTCTGCAGCATCGTCAACTTCATCGACTTCTACGAGGAGGCCTACCAAGATGGTAAGGAGTGCATCCGCGTCCTGCATGAGCTAGTCAGCGACTTTGACAATCTGCTGAGCATGGAGGACTTCAAGTCGGTGGAGAAGATCAAAACCATAGGGCCCACGTACATGGCTGCCTGTGGCCTTCACCCACCCTCGGCCGAGGATGACGGCAACCCGACGAAGTGCCTGATCAACATGATGGAGTTTGCCATTGAGATGATCAAGCAGGTCAAGGTCTTCAACGATGAGGTCCTCAGCATCACCAGTGGGGCGTTTAAATTTATCCCTCGTATCGGCTACAATCACGGACAGCTGACGTCTGGTGTCATCGGCACAACTAAACTCTTATACGACATCTGGGGGGACACAGTCAATGTGGCCAGTCGAATGGATTCCACTGGTCTGGCAGGTCACATCCAGGTGACAGAACACACCAAGAAGGCCTTAGAGCCCTACTACATATTTGAGCACCGTGGCCCCGTCAAAGTCCGGGGCAAGGGGGACATGACAACATATCTTTTTAAAGGAAAGCGTGATTCCCCATTACTAATAGGAGAATGCAACTCTGTAGCTGCCAGTCCCAACGGACCAAGTAGCCCTAGTAAAGAAGCATAACATTTTGCAATTTTCCTAGTCTGAATTTCAGCCAAGTAGCAAAAAAGCATGTGTAGAATAGTACTTCTTGTAAACTTTGCACTTTTGACGTATAATTGCGAGTCCAGACCCACTCTTTACCAAAACAGAGGTGTGCTTTTTCTCTGCATTCGATGTCACCTTATGCTCCAGCTGAAATTTGCCCACAGCTGAGCGCTTGGTTGCCACACCAGAATGGGAGCAGTGAGAACAGCGTGAATGGAGCTCTGAAATATCTGCATGGGGTCAGGCTGGATGAGTTTCAAGTGCATTTCATGAAATGCAAGGGATGACACAGACTGGTGATGGAACTCTGTGGAATGGAGACAGGCTGAGAGGCCCCCAAGACGTCAAGATTTCAGTGGTTATCATGCTTCATGTACACTGCTTGGTTTAATTTGCAAGGCGGTGCTTTCACAGCATGCGTCATCTACGTGTGTGTGCGTGTAACCCCACTCATACCAAAGTTAAGTCCGACGGCTTGGAAGTTCATGAGTGCGGGGTTTTACTTTTTTAGAAGACTCTGACTTCCGTCTGAGGGATGGAGGGTCAAATGTCAAAGATTCATGTCCTGGAGTAGCTCTTTAGTCTCAGTTCATCCATTCAATCACCAACCAGTCTGTACTGCTTGGTAAAACAGCTCTAAAATCATTACTTACCGTAGTGGTAAAGTTACACGATCTCTTTTGTGGACAGGGCTCGAATAATGTGGTCAACTCAGAATAGACTGTAGGTTAAAGGATCAAAGCACAAGTTGTCAATTTGCCTTTAACCCCTTCGCACCGGAAAGCGGTAAGAGCCGCCGTAAAAATTGAGATCCCTCAGCCCGCTTTTCAGCTATTATTTTCGGTCCACGCTTGAATGAACACGGTGAAAGAAGGTATAACCTGGCTCTTGTATATATGGTGATTTGTCTGTTGCCAAGAAATGAAAAGGCCGAATTTGCATCCTAATCACCAGCTTCATAATAGTCCCCACTTTGAAAAGAGGCAATGGGAATGTGGAAGCGTGAATAGAGCCATATGCCACCGAACAATGAGCCTTTTCGCTGTGTAAATCAAAGCGTGCAGAGCACGCAGGGCCACAAACCGAGAATTTGCAGTTTGGCAGGTTGCCTTCGTGGCCAAGCGAGGCTGGAATTCTCGGAGTCGGCTTTCAGAAAAAAGTCCCGGCGTCAAGGGGTTAAACAGATTACAAAATGGCACAATTTTTTTACATGGCGCTGGAAATATCTAGTGTAGTGATTGTTCCCAGCAGGATTGTTTGTCCCCAAAATTCCATGCCAGTGTTTGGTTGGTGCATCTCCCCTTTGAGGGCAGCAGTGCGCCAAAGATGGGTGAGATGGAGATACTGTGAAACCTTCACTAGCCTAGTCATAATTCTACAGTTGCTGTGGACTGGGGCAGTGATCAGCGGTAGGCTTTTTCAGAGCTGAAACATGGGCAGAGCACAAACTCCATTACTGTAGTCATTGTGCTGGCTCCATAGCAGATGTGGTATATGTTGACAGCGTTCAAACTGATCTTAAAACATAAAAGGCAACAAACATAAAAGATACAAAAACTGTCTTTTGTTATGCAACATTTTCTAAAGCATGCAATTATCTTCCACACTTTTCTTTGCTAGAATTTTCACCAAACGCAACCATACTTCATGTTTTCCCATCATGCTGTTGAAGAGCTTCCAAATTCTCATTTGAGTGCATTTTTGTTTGCCCTCATGGAGTCAGTTGTCATTGCGCTGACCAGTTAGGTGGCTGGTTTGACTGTCTTTCCACACACATTGTGATTCAAAAGCCTAGGAGCCAGATATTATTGTTGCCGGCCATCGCCGTGTGCAACAACTTCCCACAAGGCCTGGCAAGCACATGGACACTTTGCCCACAGGTACATGTAGATAATTCACAGGAAATGCGGGGGGGGGCATATTCTGTGAGCATATCTGTTGCTGCAGTTCAGAATTTTAACCACCTATTTTCAATTTTTGTCGAGACAGATTAGAGGGGACATAACACCAGTCATTTACAGGCAGGAAGTAAGCTGGGTGGACTGATAGCTTGCTGTCTTTGCATTGTCAAGGCACCAGCGAGACTTATCAACCTCAGTTCTGTGTAACTAACTACCGCAGATACACCACAGGAATGTTGAACATCAGTTCTTGACACAGAGGTGACATTGGGTATGAAGGTCAGCTGAAAAATGTGACAACTCACTAACAACACTGGCTGTGGCAATTGGCTAAGCTGTTTTGCTTTTGTTTGTCTCTTTTTACACCTAGGGAAGTGAAGCCCCTGTCTTGCTGGAGGTACTCTTTCCTTTTGTATGACAGTTTTGTAAAAGTTGATTTTCAAGCCTTGACAAAGCAAAGATGAAAAGCGTGTTGCTTACATGCCAAATGTATTGCAGTAGTCTCTATCTTATGATATGTAAAATGTATGAAAACTAGTGGCCATTGTGCTTCATCCTTTCGGGTTCTCAAGTTTTGGGGTTTTTTAAGTTTCTTAGGAATAGTGTGTATATAAGTGTACATATATATCATGATTGTAGGATGATGGCTTGTGTTATGCAATGTGTTTTTTGAGGCATGTCATGAAATTTGGCATAGTTTGCTAAACTATGACTCACGCTTACTGAAAAAAAAGTTTCCAAAATAACTGTATTCACACTAAATTATTTTTAAGTGCCTCTTTATATGCTTCTTAACAAAATATTAGTTGATCCATTGATGTGGATTTTATCTATGTGGGCTGTAAATAAGAATGGGGGGGTCCAAAGAGCAGTAATTGTCAAGGACTTTTTCTCCTTTTTCCAGTCCAGTTGCACAAAATGCGATCCTGTAACTCTAATTGGAACATGTTAGTAGTCAAACCTGGTAATTATTCATTGTTAGGAGAGCAGTGAGTTGCTGACATGTCTAATTTGTTGCATCATCATGGGTATTACATGTCATGTGCATTGATCAAGGTGCTGTGTCGTCTACACCGGTCTTCATGTACAAGAACCCCACACTTGTTACATTATGTGTACATCTTTGTCCATGCTGAATGCTTCCCTCAATTTTTGGCCAGGCTTAAAACCTTCGATATCCAAAATCTAGACCAGAAACCTTGCCGAAGAATGGAGTCCTGCATCTGATGCATGCAGGCCAACAAACTGGTTACAGGCAAACACTTAGGCAAGATACAAGGTAAAGGTACAGTCTGTCATTTACAGTTATCAAAAATGTAGTGGACGAAATTATTACTGAAAAGCAGGCTTGGTTTAACCCTAACTCCCTAGGGCGTGTGCAAAATCATATTAAAATAGGAGGATTCAGGATACTGAATCCTCCAATTTTATCAAAGATGGTTATGGGACCAGAATGTGAAACGGTTCTTTCTGGCAAGCTGTCGTTTTGCAGAAAACAATGAATGAAGGCCATTTCCAGCAGTTCATCTGAAGATGCATTTGTGGAAAATTGCCATTGGAAGCAAGTGCAAGTGTTGACATAATTTGCACATGCGTGCAGTTAATGGTCAGTTCAGTGCTTGACATTGTGTAGCTGCATTCAACTGAATATGAGCATGTGTTTCAGATGCTTAATTTAGGACTTAACTCAGCGACTTCTGATCTGAAATTGAAATCCTAGAATATTGCTTTTCTTAGAATGTACAGTATTTACTGGGCTGAAACTTCGTTAGATTTGTTCTAAGACACCTTTCTTTTTGATTTTGAGTAATTTTTGTTTCCTAAAAAGGAACGTAATGCACAAATGGAAAATGATTGTACCTTGTGTTTTGTCAGCATGGCTCCCTTTNGTTATACTGGGAGTCTATTTTTGCCAACTGTGACCAGTTTGGGGCATTCACATAAACATGTTGAAGTTCCAAGAGGAGAATTTAGTATATTGCAGCAGGATTTGCTTGTGCCCAGCTTTCAGCCTGGGTTTGGCTTAGATGTCTCTGACCGTAACAAACAATGAAAGGGGATTTTTCCATGTCAATGCTTTCAGCTTTATCCTGAGCTCTACAGTTTTGAACATTTACAGCTGGAGCTCAATTAAGATCCTCCAGCCATTGGTCTCATACTAGATAACAGGATGTTTTCCCAGCCGAAAATGAAGGTATGTTAAGCACACAAGGCCCAGTTTCATGGAACTACGGAAATGTCTGTGTTTACCATAGCACAAGAATTTGCTATGCAGTAAGTCTACTGTCACGGTGAATATTTCGAGGCTGCTGTGCTTAGCACAAAACATATGCATGCTGAGTTCCATTGTTGCTTCACCAAGTTAAACAAATATTTCCTCTGAGGTGAGTGTGTCTTTTGCTGTGCTTACTGCTAATGGTCTTCATGAAGTATGCGGAGCTTTTGTAATTGTAGAATCACGTGCTTAGCAGCACCATGAAAGTGGACGGAGGTCTCAATTCTGAACTGGATTTATGAAGTAGAAACCTGGAAGTGAAGATAGAGCTGAAACTGAGATTCAGGAAACACCTTTACTTGGCTGCAGCTTGGACAATTACACACAGGTCTGTGGCATTGGCTTCATCTGCTACTCGCTGAATCATGTGTACTTACAAGCCGCAACCAAGTAATTAGCACACATTCAAAATGTATGGTAAGAACTCTCTCTTCTGGACTGGTTTCCTCCTATTGAGTTGTAAATTATAACAGGATTGAGAACCAGTCTCTGTGATCGGTCTTTGTTTGAAACAAGCTTCCAGAGCTACAGCTGTGTCTCTTGTCAAGATGTTTCCTCTCATTACCAATGGATGTCTAGACCTACATGTAGCCCTAGACAGCATCTTGGGATACAGCCTAAGGCCATGGCCTAATCAAGTGACTGTGGCTGAAAGTGACACATGCATCTATGGGAAGGGGCTGTAGCCACTAGCCATTTGCTGCAATACATGTAGGTGTCTGTATTATATCCAGCTCCAGCCACGATTTTTGGGACAAAGAGTTTGGACACTGGAGTTGGCCATTGGTCCACATTATCAAAGGGTTACACGGTGCCCTCTTTAATGCACCGGCTTGTTGCATCATCAGATTTCATTGATACAACTCGGTCAGTCACCCCATATGGCCAAAGCTCGCTGTTCAGCAAACTAGCAGACAACCTCAGTCAACGATGTGTACATATACCAGTGAATTTCAATTGCTGAGCCAGATCAAGGGTTTCCAAGTAAATTCGGATGTGATGTCACAGTGCTACATGTATGTTTAACAAATGACATTACTGTAGTTGCTGTCATCATCAGCAATCTCAGCTGGAAAAGTGCAAAGTATGTTGGGGAAAGGTCACCCCAAAATGAGGTTTGATCCAGGGCTAACATCGAGCCCATCATAAGCTGCCATACAAGTCGACTCCTCTGTCATGTCATCAATAACAACAGATGACCAGTGACAAAGGAATGTCCTTGTCACTGTTGGAGTTTATTGTAATCTAGGGCAGGATGACCTGCGAGGGACTTGTGAGGATCTGTGACAGCCCAGAATACGACATGTCCCCCACCAGGTGCCCAACCTACATGTACACCAGGATGGCATTTTTTATGTAACGTGTCACCAGTCTAGTTGAGCATTGCTTCAAACACGAGTCTCATGAAATGAGATTCCATGAAATAGTCTAGGAGTCTATATTTAACCTGCTACAGAAGGGTTGAGACTTTGGCGTGGCTGTTAACTTAAAACTGGAGTTAATAAGGATGTAGTGGTTTGAACTGAGGGGGGGAGGGGGATTGGATGAAAGAATGTCCAAGTTGATAAATGTATTGAGATTCAAAAAAGGGGTTTCATGGTCAGGTCAGCTCCATCCTCCTTCACTCCATCCGGAGAAAGGCACCTACATATTTAAGATTTTGACTTAAAAATCTGAGCTACCAACCAGGTGACAGTTGTGGCCTCTGCCAAGTAATTTGAAATGTGTTAAAAAAAAGTTGGCCAAAGTAAGCATGTATAGTATTCTTGCTGTAAATAGTATAGAGAGTTGTGAACTGATTTCAAAGGGCGAAGCTTTTTATTGGGCAATGTATTAAAAATACAAAACTTAAATTACCATTTTCTTTTTGTTTTGGTGATTTATATCATGAATTTGTATGAATTGAACATTTTTGTTGTGCGTGCTTCCATTTTTTTCATGTTACGGTTTAAACGACTTAATTTTTGCAGCAGTGCAACAAGAGATTCAAGGTCAGAAAGACTGATGTTCGATCTTCACAAAAACCTTCCATCTAAGCCAGTGCTTATTTTAAACTCCTAGACTTTTGTGTCACCTTATAAAGTCTTCTCAATGACCCCTGGGGTTGCTTTCTTTTTTATGTTTGCTTTGTCTGTAAAAGTCATCTCTGGCACTGATTTGCCTGGAAAGTGAACATGGAATTTAAAAAATTTTGAAATAAAATTCAGAAGATGCTTGCAACACAAGGCATTTGATGCAAAGGGAATGAATGACTAATATTTGAAAAAGCTAGTTCTGTACGTGATTAAGACATGGCTAAGTGTTGAGCAGTTTGTGAAACAATTTATATTTTGTCAAAATCAGTGAATCAAAGCCATTTACTGTTTGAGAGTTTGGGATTGTAGTTGGCTGTGATCATGTACAATTGCCTGTATAGATTGTGGTGTGTCAATCGTGAGCCATTGTTAAAGCTGCGTGTATGGGAGGCGAGGTACTACCTCCAAAGCTCAAGATGTTTTAGCCCTGATTATTGTAACTTCTTTTTAATAGAAGTGGTTTGGCCTGAAACTTGAACAGCAAGAATTTTTTTTTCAGTCAGAGCCTCAGCCAATTTGATTCTTGATATTGCTGTGGAACTACTCAACGGAAAGACAGCCATATGCTATAGAATTTTTTCTTGTCTGAAATCTCCAGAATTCTGTCAAATAGACCTTACACATTCCCAGCGTCAAAATGTGTCCGTAATCAGTAACAGATCATGCCTGCAAGGTAACAAAAAGTTCTGCAAAATTTTTCCTTGTGTAGTTTTTACACATGCAGTGTTAAATAGACCAGGATTTTGAACAGTGATGTGTAGCACACTTATGAACTATAAATCATGTAAATTTAACACTATTTTTTAATCCTTCACAGCAAGTTAATATATTCGCTATTCAAACTTTAATATGTGCAAATGCTTAGAAACCTGTACGATGGTTAACTTGATTTGATTGAAGTAACTAAGATATATAGCAGGAAAAATATGAAGACCTGTTGTGACTTTTGTATAAGTTAGAATTGAATTATATATGTATATCTGGTGATACTAGCTAAGGATAATTCATGAAATGCACTAAAATTTGACATAAGCTTACAATGAAATTTCATTCTGCTGACGTTCTGATGTTGAATTCAAAGTACTAACAGTAATTTTTTATTACATACCAAATGGGATTTGTATGAATTTTGATTTGACTTCTTGCAGAAGTTGCTGTCGGGATTTAAACAGCAAATCAAAAAAAGAAAAAAAACAGGAGTGACTTGGCATTCAACTTGACAAAAAACCCTTTGTGTTCAACAAAAAGGGTATAGCCACCCAACCCAGATATATTTCTTGTGAAGAATTAGCTCCAACGGAGACTAAATACGTGCCCATTGGAAAGATGAATGTAGCCAATGATTGGCAAAGTCTATGCTGTCATTACTAAGGGGTATCCATTTTCTTTTTCCATTCTGTACACTTTTCACAAGTTAGAAAATATACAAAATACTTAAAATAATATCCAACCCAGAAGTCATCTTTTTTTTCACCTTTTTAGTTTGTTTACTCATTGAGAGGAAGGGTTACGAATGTTCACACAAGGAAGTGAAGCCCAAAAAGAGTGATTGATAGGCAGTCATGTGATATGCCTTAGCTGAATGTGCACTCAAGTATAGTTTCTTTATAATTTCATTTGTGATATCATCTTAGTTTTTGTTCATTTCTTGTGTCCTCTGCAGTGTATCTCAAGTTCAAATATGAGTTGTATTGAAATGTTCATTGCTACTACCTTACCACTATTCCAATCGGCCTGAAATAATTTTCCCAGAAGTTGTTTGATCACCTTTGTTGTGGCTAAATGCTATTTAAAGGATGGAAGTGTCCCTTCATAGAATTCTAAGATGATAAACTTTGTTATATGCAGTAATGAATCGAATTTTGACTTGAATTAATTTTCCTCAGGCAGGAAAGTGTGTTCTGGTGGTAAATTGCCAGAGCAATTATCTGAGTTTTGTTATTCTTAATCCTGTACGTCTCATTGGTCACAGAACTTAAGGTCATTTGAACTGTGGTGTTTTGCTGCTCAAATTAAAGCACAGCTAGATAAAGCATGGCAAACTATAATGATAATTTTTTGATACTTTTTATGAAAATCTGTTTACCTCTTACCTGGTTTTATTAGGAATGCAGTTTATCATTAAAGTGTGAAGTTGCCAATGGTTGTCTCATCTTACAATCTTCCAAAAACAAAGTTAGAAAAAAAATTGCTGTAAAGATCTGAGAATACGAAAATTTGAGACAGGTACAAGTAATGTAAAAATCCAAATGCCTGGTTTAATACTTGCATTGGGTAAGTTGAGTTGTAGCATCTGGATGTCATTAAAAAAAATGAAATCAAACAGGTATCGATATTGTGTTGCACTTTTATGTTTATAAGCAGCATACATGTGATGTTTTTATCTTGTTAAAAATGATAAATTTATGAACGGGAAATTGCAACCTTGTCATCAGCACTTATTACCTCAGTTGCCAATGTGGCAACATGACTTTGCAAGTGAAGTTGGCTTTGACCATCTCTGAATGGCTTGCCACCAGATTCCGGGCATTCGTGCTCTGTCCCATTGTTCACCAGTGGCTGTCAGTACTATGTTGCGATAAAGGCGTTTCCCTGTAATTAGAAGAAAAGTATCAAATTTACCATAATGCCTTTGAAAGGTTGCCAGGAGGGTACTTGCTGCCTGAGCTTTTGCCAAATAGAAATGCCTGGGATTCTACAGTAAACCATCAAAAGAACTTTTCATTGTGCTCATCTCACTGTAGTAATACTGAGTTACTCTGTATTGTTCTTTTATTTGTAGATTTGGGCCAGTCTTATTTTTGGAAGTGAATTCATATCCAATAAACATGACCCCCTGGGCAATTTTATGTTGATGGGGCCAAAATATAGAATCCCGCCTTACAGGTCTTGCAAAACTGAAAAATGAATAAAAAATATTCTTAGGTATCATTTAAGTTCATTATCCCGAAGGAAAGTTAAAATATCTGTATTTCTCGAATCTCGACCAGTTGAAAATGCTGCTGCTAGTAGTAGCCTATGTGTTGCTCAAATTATAGGTCAAACAGTACAGTGGGGTCAACGAGGTAAGTTTGAACTTTTGGGAAAGCTATTACTATTATTTAGAAATTATTTCTGTTGACGTTACATGTTGTAACAACTAAAGATATATATTTTTATTCCTTAAACCTGTGATCAAATTTTACACAACTGATTTTCAGCGCACTAAATTCTACAGTAGGTGACATTTTGTGTATCTTCCCCTTTTCAAATTAGAAAAAAAATTCTGGGCGCTAGGGCCGCTGGGTATTTAAAAAGTTCCCAGCATGCCTTTTCCCATATTCCGAACATTCCCGAACGGCAACGGTCCCTGTCGATTGTTAATCACCTGCCAATCTTTCCACGCGTCGCCCCAAACGCACCAATAACATCTCGCTTTATGGAGCACGTGATTGCATGCTAATGAAAAATTATGAATAAATTATTCTTCGACGCTCGGCTTTTTCCGGAAGCTTTCCTTGTTAGTCCTCTGACAAGCGTAAAAAGTTTTCATCAACAGCCGCCATTTTGAGCGAATACGGTCGGGGAAAAACTGGCATTTTCGGTGAAAATTTCTCATCATTTCGGAAATTATTTCACCCGAAACCCATTTTGATATTTTATTTAATTACTACTTCTTCCCCAGCGATTGGATGGGAACCCGCCAGGCGTTTCATCATGTGACGAAAACGATTTGAAATCGGCGATCATTTTCGTGCTGGGCTTTGTACACGGGAAATTAAGGTCAAACTGTGCAGGATACGTCGATTTAATACTATTATTTGCGTTGCAATGGTGTAACCAGCTTTTTGTTTAACCGGAGTCTTCAACCAGCAGACAGCCAATGGATCACATCAAGGTAAAACTGGAACATTCCGGCATCAAGTAAGACTTAATTGGTGACTTCTTCGTAACACTGCGAACACGGAGTGGTCCAATTTTTTCAACATGGCCGACCTGGAAGGTCCGCCGAACAAGAGGCCGAAGCTAACGGTGCCGATTTCGACGCCTAGCAGTGACAACAACACAGGTGATTCAGTAAACGTTTAATTCATTTTCTCGTTCTCATCATATTTATGTGCACATGAAATAAATTTAAATCTTTGTAAAACTAGGCCTAGATATTCTGATGCGAAAAGAATTCTTTGCCCAGGCCATTCCTGGTCAAGCTTAGTCCGAGTAACGTTAGGCATAACTTGGAACCAACAAATCTCCTTTTTTAACATTCGGACATGGTAGGGCGATAGTAGGGTCCAAGTACTTTCGATAGGCTTTTGCTTGCATTAATTCATTTCACTCAAAATAGCTCGTAGGCCCTACCCCGAATCAAAATCCTCTGAATTGGCCTCCAAAATGGTCCTCAACTGCGCCCAGCTTTGTGCGAGTCGGAGATTCTATTAGGCCTAATGGATGATTAGGTTTACTCACATTTGGGAAGGAAAAAAAAATTCCCCTTCAAATCGGAAACAGTCTTGTCTTCAAGCGTGATACCACCACCACTACTGTAGGCCTAAGCTGCTTTCAAGTCAACTGGTACCTTTGGCGACTTGTATCTCGGATGACTCTTACCTTGGACGCTTTCGAGTCAACTCGTACCTTGGGCGAGTTATACCTTGGATGATTCATACCTTGGACTACTCGTACCACAGGCAACTCGTACCTTGGACAACTTGTACCTCGGACAACTCGTACCTCAAGTTAAGACCACTCGTACCTTCATGTTATCAGTTCCATTGTAACTTTGCTGCACTTCCTTTTCAGCATGTTTATGATCAGATTTGACAAACATATCAAAGAAAAATCTTCATAAATCTCCCAGAGTGATCTCGAATGCCAGCATGATTTTCTCCATAGTGCCTGCCGCAGGCGTTTGCGCTGTCGGTTTACATGATGGATGTTGAACAACGTGACTGTGTACAAACTTGACTTCCTTATTAATATGCTTTTATGGGGAGGGGACTTTACTAAACTATAAATTCTTTTTTTTAGGGGGGGAATTCAATTTATTCTTATGGCTTTGGGAAAATGTTATTGGACTTTTTCATTCTGTGGGGGAATGACAGCTTTATTTAGTAACGTTTTGGGAGGTGTACTCAATAAAACTTCAAATATATGTAATACAAAACTGCTGTAAACTGCTTGCTGACTACAATGACCTAAAATACAAATCTCAAAATATGGAGGGCCTGACGTTTCAATCCTAAAATGGGGGGGTGGTTACCTTATTAAAATTTTTTTTTTTTTGGACAAGTTACAACTGACATTACTTTATAAACTTTGAAGTAAATGAAAACATGACATCACTCCATCATCACGGTTGACGGCATGGTGAAGATTCCAAATTGCATGCAACAATGGCTGGCCACGTTGACCAACGTCAGTTGCCTGACCATGCGTGCAGATGCACGACGTTGACGTGTCGCACATTAATGTCACCTCATCGGCGTGTAGGTAAGACAATATAGGCAAAATGGCAAATTAGGTGACGAGCACATGACTAAGAAATCAAATTACTCAAGTTAATTACAATAATGATAAGCGCTGAGCAGGCTCTGATTTCTGTGAAGGTACGAGTTGTCTTGTACGTGAATGACGAGTTGTCTTCACTGGAGGAACGAGTTGTCCAAGGTGTGACTCGGCAAAGGTACGAGTTGGTACAGTTATGTTGAGTTGATGGCAGGAGTTGTCCATGGTACGAGTTGTTCCTGTTAATGTCCTGGAGACAACATCATGTTGCGCTGGCCTCTAGCGGACCATTCACAAAAAGCATGCCGTGCCCCTGGCACACATGCACCTGAGTCCTGAGGGTCGCAATGTCCGTTGTACAGTTTCAATGTGATCACAGTTACCGGACATACGGCGCTCAGGAATCAGTCGGCAGCACGCGTGCTGACACAGCTCGCTTTTTATGAATGGTCCGCTAGATAGAGGCTGGGGTGCCGTGATGTCATCTCCAGGACATTAACATACAGTTCGAATTGCAGTTTGAATATGATGGCGACATCGAGCTCGATGACAAGACCATTTCCGATTTGATTGGGAAATTTCTCTTTCTTTCCCAAATGTGAGTAAACCACATTATTAGTAGAATCTCCTTTTCTTGCTTGCTTCTTAGCTGGGCATATTAGACAGTTTAAGGACCATTTTGGAGGCAAATTCAGAGGATTATGATTTGGGCTACAAGTTATTTTCAGTGAAATGAATTAATGGAAGCAGAAGGTACTTGAACGCTGCTATCACCTGACCATGTCCAAATGTTTAAAAAGGAAAAAGGTGATTTGTACAGTCAAGGTCAAGCTATGCTGTTTGTGTCAGGCCTAATGTCCATGATGGTTATTCGCAACTTACTCTCATGATTCTGAAAACCAATCAGACTTGACAGTAGGCCTGGATGGTGAAATCAGGGACCTGGCAACTCTACGGTCACAGACGTTAGTCATGCTAGTTGGAGTAAGCCCCTAACTGGCACTCTATAAATTGCCTTTTAAACAAGTATGGATCCTGTCCAAATGTAAAAAAAGGGGACTTGTAGGGTCCTAGTTTCTCCGAATACATTGGTGTGTGGTCAACATTGGTAGGCCAATGTTGAGATTCTTTTATAATGTTGGCTTTTAAAATGTTTACCCCTTCGCTCTGTGTTTTTCTGGAATCATGAAACAAAAATCAGCATAACAGCTTGATCAGTTGGTGAAACTGATTGCCAAAGCAAGGAGGAGAAATTTTAGCAAGTAGGAGAAATTTTTACTTCAAGTACTCAAAAGTCACTACTCCGTCATTACTCTGTGTGACTTCAAGCCAATACAGTTTACATGCGCGTGGAGTTGTAATGCTATGGGTTTTTTCANTCGAACTTGATAAGTGAATGCTACACCGCTTGCACAAAGTTATTCAATCAAATTTTTCTGTGAGAGCAACCCTGAGTAGCCTGTAGCTCTTAAAAAGGGTATCAGGAGGGTTTTAGAGCAGGAGATGGAGTATTCTTTGACAAAAATGTGATTGTTACCAATTTCTCGGTCCCACCTGATGATGTTCGTACTGCTCATGTCATTTGTGTTCATTCCATTGTGCATGTGTCGGACCTACAAGTGGCCGCATCTCGGTTCGACCATTTTTGATGGCAGGGGTAGCATCTTTACATCCTGTAAGCTGATACCATTGGGACTCACGACATGCGCTACACTGTGTAACTGTAAAAGATTACAAGATCTTAGGAAATGGTTCAACCAAGATTCAGCGCAAGCTTGACCATTGGTGGGCCCAACACATTCACAATGTAATAAACACAAACAGCATGAACAGCACAGTCGTTGTTGCTGGAACCAAGAAATTAGTGAGCAAAAATGTATTTTTTTTGCAGAATACTCAGTCTTATGCTCTAAAACCCTCCTGACAGCTTCTTAAGAGCTACGGGCTACTCAAGGTTGCGCTCACAGAAAAATTTGATGGAATAGCTTTGTGCAAGCAGTGTAGCATTCACTTATCAAGTTCGAATAAAATACCTGTAGTATTACGACTCCATGTAAACTGTATTGGGTGGAAGTCCAGTGGAGTAATGATGGAATAGTTCTCGCAGTTAGAAATTTTGAAGCTGTGGGATGGAGTGAATGCCAGGCAACTCGAAAGCGTGCCCACTCAGGAAATTCCCAACTCATTAAGTTAAACAACACGTTTGCAAATTTACTCTCTTGGAAATGTCCCATTTCTTGTTTGTTACTAAAGCAGTGATTTCCAAACATCATCACCATGATCCTCAAATATTATGCTATGAAAATGTGCCAGATTAACTTCTGCCTGGTTCTGTGCCCTCTCTGTCAGCTGCGAAGTGGTTGTCGTTGTCAAGGGTCCATTTTGAAATTCACTACCGTGTTACTTGCATTAGGATACCGATGCCTTTGGATGAGGAAAGAATTCCATACCTGGCCATATCTGAACAATTTTAATTGTTTCCTTAGTAAATGCTTCAATCTTTTCCAAGCTAAATTTGACTTTTAACCCTAACCCCCTAGGGACCATTGAAATCCTGCATAACTTTGTTGGGTTCAGCATTTAAGGGAAGTTAAACCTTTCTGATGGCTAAAAAGTCATTGCAGGGGAAAATTGATGATGCCCTTGTATGGAATTCTTCTTTATGCATAAATAGTATTTATTCATAATTCATGTACCCCTCCCCTTTTGGGAGGAGATTAATGTAGTCAACCTGCCAAGACGTGAAAATATTGTGATTTTTCTTGAATTCTGGAAGATAGAAAACAACCAGAGCAAGAAGCTGTCCATTGGTCTGTAAAGGCTGATATCCACTTAGATGTATGTAAATTTCATACACAAAGTTAGTGGACAGCAACAGTTAAATGTCTATTAGGTAGAAAGTTGGACATATTCGTTGTTCCCATTTAAAGTGCATGCACAGTTCTAGTGACTGAATTCACAAGACAACTCAGGAATGATGACAAGAAATTTGCTTCTTGTCGAGCATTCCTAGACTATGCCATGAGCATGCTGTCCATGATAGCATCAATAACGAAAATTGTTGCACTTACGTGATTGTAATACCGCAATACAGGTGATTCACAATACAGTGCACCACCAAGAGTTTGCTACAGATAGGTCATTTTTTGCAGTGTTTTGTGGGAAATGGTAGATATAATCATTTGCTGGCTGTGTGCTGAGAACATTATTCCTGTTTGTTTCTCAGGGAAGAAGAGTGGTATTTTGAGTAGCACTTTTAATTAATTCTTTCCTCTTTTTATTGCATGGAATGTCCCTATCCATCTAAAGTTTCCCAAGGTTGTCTCCTGATATACATGCATGCTAAAATTGCAAATTGTGGCAATGTGACCTTGCTTTTTGCAAATGTTAGCTTGGAAAAGTCTCTGTGTGGCAACCTCCTGGTGGCATGCTGTATTGTGTATGGCCCCTGTTGTAGCCCGTAAGAAACATGTCCAAGTTGAAACATTAATCACTGCATTTTTGAAATGCATCAGTTGTAAGTTCATGGCGCAGTCCATTGCTGTTCCCTGTTGCATGGCATGGAAGCAAGTTAACATTGTAGAAACTGAAGGGGAAAAAGCCCTATGCAAGTCAAGTGTGTTGACATGTTCAGTTGTTCACTACTAAGCTTCCAGTAGGCCTCAATATAAGACTTTTTTGTGTGTGTTGTCAGTATTCACATTAGGGGTATCATTACCGAAAATGCAGTGTGCTACACACTGTTGTGTAGCTGGTTTTTAAGTTGGTCTATTTTTTATCATAGCGCTAACAAACGTACATACGTAATGAGTGCATTGTTTGGTTTCTTTTTAAACAACATCAGCAACAGTGGGAAGTTTCATTGTCCAACCAAAGAACTACATGTAAATGACTGAAAGAGTTCTCAAGCAATACTGATCAGTTGTCCTGTAAGAAAAAAAGAAGAAAACAAAGAAAAAACTCACAGGATTTCCGTCCTCCCCAAATTATTCAATTTTTGAACCCTATTCTCAGGGTTTGTTGTTAAAATCCTTCATTTTTGAGATAACGAATCAAGATGATTTTCTTTGTTTACAGTTTGTTTCATGGCATATTACTGTGGTCCAAAAGGTAGAAGTGCTTGGAGAGTTCATGCAAGTGTTCGTGTTTGTAAACACTTGACACACCACATTTCAATTGTTGGAAGCCTAGCTCGCTGCATATTCTTGCTAAGAGCCTTCCTGACTCCCTCAAAAATAATCTTCTGTACAGGAAACCAGTGGCACATTCTCTGCATGTAAAATAGGGCACAGAGTACTTTCAAGGCACATTGCAAAAGACCAAAGAATACCACATGCATGTTAGCGAAGATGTGAATTCTAGAGGTCTGGAAGCGTTTCCCATGAGTGGAGCTGAATTGTTTTTAAGGAATTGAGACTCCACATTCTATCATACACTGCTGTACATGCTCTGTGAAGGTTCAGGGCTCAACCTTAACGCTAGCCCGGCGTACAATGGTTAGTAAAACCGGCTGCAGGTTAGTAAAAACCCCTTCCCAACTTGCCCAGCAGGCTAGTTAAAATATGTACACATTTGCACCTTGAATCCCGTATTGTGTGCTGGGACAATGTACGTGTACATTCTACCTAGTACCTATCAACGCATCAACGGTACTTTCTCCAGTAGTCAGTGACCTCTATACATGACCAATATAATTACCATACAATTCGTACTTGGAACCAGATACCAAAAACCGATACTGCGTCTATAGACTGGTGCAATCCGGTTCGTAAGTGACTTCGCCGTACCACTGATCGCAAGCCCCTCATTGGACAATCATTCCTGGTGAGTGAGTAGGGAACGGGAACCAGTCTACCCACG